ACAGATTAAATCTCAAATCTAATTGCCTGCCCATTTCTTCCCAAATTTTGCCCAGCTTTCCCAAAAAATGACACATGCTAAAAATACCAACAATCCCTTTTCCTTATTTTCCACACACAGAGGCAGGAATCTCACCTCTGGATTGCCCGCGGGAAGAAGATCTCACCGTCGCCTTTGCCTTTTTTCGAGAACGTTTTCACGACTTTCTGCTTTTCCACATCGATGATTCGTAGCGCTTGTCTGAAATTTTCGGTGAAAATGAGAAAATAATTCAGGCAAATCGCATGAAAATTCACCGAAAAATAAAAACTTCTAAAAAAATCTAAAATAACACCTTAAAATCAACTCACTTTGAATACATATTGATCGGTATCGAGCAAGTGGCCGCCATCAGAGTATTCGAATCCAGCAAACATATCGCCTGAAAAGCGTACTCGTCCTCACTCAGCACATCCTCCCAACCCAACGGACAATCCATTGATGCCCTGCAAAACACCAAAAAATATCACATCACACCACATTTCAAGCATAATATTAAGCTGCTACAACTAACTACAACCATGCCAATTTCACTCTTTATCAGTTGATAAACTGATAACGTTTCTGATAAATCAACTGATAAATTATCACTGATAACTGATAAGCTGATAAGGTTTCTGCTAAGCCAAGCCAAAACCCACTTGTATACGATGGAGTCTTCACCTTGCAGTTGTTTTGTCATGAAGATATCACCAGTTTCAGACGATACGGCCATGCTGAATACTTTACCGTCGATAAATTGCTCGTGAAGCATCTCACCGCTCAAATCTAAAATCCTGAATTCCGTTGAGGCCGACTGCTCTTCTGCGTACGCATACAATATCTGCAACTATTTCTCTCAAACCTCCTAAAAAAACCCCTAAAAACTGACTGAAATTTTATTATTTTTTTGTTTTCTTCGAGCCAGCAAACGAAAAAATTTACCTCTAATATAAAAAATTTGATCAAATCTCCTCATTTAAACCAAATATTTCTGCGCAAAAAAAAAATAACAAAAAAAAAACAACGCCGCCCACCTTCCCATCACAATAGAGCACTTGACAATACGGTGATATCTTCTTCGGGAACGGATTCCGGCGCTCGAACAGCAGATTTTTACCGGTTGAATCGAATTTGAACAAACCACCTTTTGAAGCCACCCAAACGTTACGTTCGCTATCCATACACAAACTGCAATCAAGAGGCAACACATCAATCCTCTGATTCAGATCTGATTTTAATCACTTGATAAATGACAATTCCATCTCATAAGCCTGAACCTATACGATAAGACTCTAATCATACCCACCTGTACGGCACGGTGGCACCTTTTGGTGTCAAATGAATAAACATTTCGTCCAGTCTCTGGTGATTGGACGTATTCGACAAATTTTCGGTCATTTTCTGTCGTTGGCCTTGTCCAGATTCGATACTCGATGTTGCGACCCCTACTGAAAACTCCTACTGTTTGTTCAAATTGCATACGAGACGAGGCACTTGCTTGCATACCAAACACGAACAAATTCTACACGAACGCTCCAAAATCGATCGCCTAATCACACCAAATCAAAAATTCTGTCCAGCAAATAATACTTCCAGCAAAACTATCAAGCAGCCATTCCAATTCCACTCCAAACCACACCACCATCAAACATCAACGCTCTCCTTCGAAATCACTCCAAAACACCAAAATTTTCCACCACACAACCAAATCCAACGATCTTCAATCTTCAGTCCAAACCGAACTAAGACTAAAAATCAAATTTGCGCCGCTCCTATGCATGAAGCCGACGAGTTGTCCGATCAAACTACAACCAAACTACAACTTCGCCGGCAAAATGCCAGAAACTGCACGTCGCTATTCGCCAAAATCGGCGAGAGCGCAGACGAGCAGAGCGGCAACCATTTGGCGACTCGGCATCGGGCACCTGCTTTCGAACATCGCTCTAAACCGTTCTAAACTTTTTAAAAATAAAACTGAAAATTTTTCATAAAATAAAGTGAAAATTCTCAAAATTTCCAAAAATTCAAATAAAAATTTACTCAATTCATATGTGCAACAACAACAATAAGTAGTTGATTAAAATGATTAAGTGATTAATTGATTGATAATCGATAAAAAGTGATTGATCGATAAAAATTCACGTCAACAATTTTACAGATCATTACAAGAACATCAACAACTTCAGATCAATGAGATGGATGGATCAATAAATGGATGGACAGAAGCGTAATAAGACAGAAGAGAGCAACAACACGCTCAAGACAACAAAACAACATCAATACCGACAGACAACAGACGTGAATCTAACGAAATTTCCCCAAATTTATGATAATTCGCTGGTAAATCTTTAAAAAAAGCGACTACATATTAAAAATTTACTAAAATTTCGCTTATTAACGCCCATTCCTATTCCGAATAATGCTAAGAGCTCGTCATAAAACTGATTGATCATAAAAAGCACTGATCAAACAAAACAAATCAAAACATCGCAATCAAATCAATGCGACAATAAAACACCAACACAATAACAACGCGTTTAGGTAGATGTTTGAATAAAGCTAAACTCGAAAAAAATTATCAAGAGAAAAATCCAAAAATCAGAACATAATTAATATCTGAAACCGAGCCTCCATAATTACATCCAGAAATTAATAATAAAAATAATAACGCACACCACAAAAATTAACAACCGGCTCACAACAT